CTCCCACGCTCCTCAGGAGATGTAAGAAAATGTTTTTCTCCCTGAGCCTGGCCTTCATAATTCCATTCCATCACACACAGGTAGGATAATAGCTGGCACATCAACTGAAGTTGGGTGTCAATCCTTCTTGCCACTGAGACCACTTGCACTTCTAGTGACTGATTAGAATGAAGAACCCCCAAGGTACCCCTCTGTTATTTCAGAAAGAGTGCTACCTCATCCGGTACCCGCTACCTTTTTACCTCCCAGACCTGAGAACAAAGATATCTGCATCTTATCTGGATTCAGCTTCAGTTTGGTGAAATCCAATCCATCATAAACTCTAAAAATACCAATCATCTGAACAGTCTTTCCTAATTTAGGTGGAAAGCAGAAACAGAATTGGTATCATCCAGCTATTGTTGCCATCAAACTTCAAGTCACTGGATGACTACCTCCAGTAGGTTTATATAAATATTGAATAGCAGCAGAGAAAGGACAGAATTTTGTGATATCCTGCAAGTATCAAGGAATTAAGTAGAAATCTGCCAGTGCCACTCTCTGGTGGTGATTCTACAAGTAGGACTCACACCCTGAAGACATTTTCCCTCAACATTTAAGGTTCTGAATAACTACTACACCGTTGCAAATATTATTTTCTTGAGCAAGGTGCTAGGGAGTTGATGGCCATCAGTCATGTTTCAGGATTGGCTATAGCACATGAAGTCTTACCTGTCCTGATTGGCAACTCTAACTGGGAGAGAGGCCTAGGGAATGCTACCATTTTGATTCTTCTGGCTCTCTCAGCAATCCCTGACACTAGTGATCAAAGAAGATTGCTAACATTGCTCAGTCAGCTGTGAACTGGAGACACGTTTCAGTGCTTCCACTACTTGTAGGACCACCACCATAGAATGGCAGTAGCAGATCTATTTGATTGAGATATATTGTCTCATAAGGAGAGCCAAACTGGAGCAAGCAAACAAACATAGTCTTGTTCATCAGAAAGTGGATCATAATTGACTTTGCTACGGCCAGGAGTTTCCAACAATGGAAGGAGTATAGTGTTCTTGCATTTACATAGTTACAAGGTGGCCAAGGGATGTGTATGTGTGAATGTCCTGCCTTTTATTGTGCTATCATTTCTCTAGTGGTTTGCAGCTTCTTGGCTTGCCATGTATTCAAAGGAAGATACCAGATAGGAACGGCTAAAATTCAGCAAGGACGTAAGTGGGTGAGTCCATTTTTGATGCCTCTTTATATGTGGGATTTATCCCTACCGGACTGAAGCACCCTTATCCAGGTTGTGCTTTGGAGTCAGTCGCAATGCATCATTCTTTCCAGCTGTATCCACTTGAATTGTAATGGATATTAACCTATATTTTATCCAGCAAAAGCTAATATTCTCAATTTATTTCTTGGTAAATTCTGTTAGTCTTTTGTACTAAATGGCACCTTTAGAACAGACCTGGCCTTCTGTGCTTTTTCTTCCTTCTAACATACTAGCAATAACCTAGGGAGGAGGTGAAACTTTCTGATGTTTTCTTTAGGTCAACATGTCCTGTTCCTCTGAAAAGAGAGGCTGTTATTTCTTGTCTTTTTATCAGGTTAATTATAGCTATTATGAATCCTGACCTGATCATGCATCTGATCATGCACACTGTCACATTATGACCACGTGTAATGGAGAGGTGGGCACTGTAAATTAAGATATGCCCTTATCAGTACATATTTTATGGCCATGTGCCATTGGGGAGATGTATTTTGAATAGGCTATTATAGGTTGTTGTATATACTTAAGCATTTTTTGAGGTTTAATCAGGCTTTGCCTCCTTTGGTCTTGACTCTAACAAGAGAACACAAATACCACCCTGTTTAGAGCATAAGGTCTTACCATAAGTTTTCCAATATTGTATAATCAGTATAATTTTCATAACATATTCTGTTTATTTGTATTAATTTCATTAATTATACTATTATCCAACAAGCATATACAACACTCACCTATTTCCTAAAAGCATGGTTTCTGGTTAAGACTAGAGCAGATGGGCAGTGAATAGGGAAAGTGTTGTTTCAATTTAACCCTTACATCATAATAGTCTCTTGATTTTTTTCTCTTGAAAGTTATTTTGAAAGCATTTTTTTTTTTGCATCAAACTGAATGAGAACTATTAGGGAAAAACGCTTCCATTTATTGCTCTAGCTATGTTTCTTGTTTGAGAGGAAATTATCTACTTTGTTCAAATACGTTTTTATATATGTGGTGGCATTTCAAAGTAGTCAACATTCTTATGATCATATAATATATTCAATTGTGTTCTATTTATTGCATTTCCATATTGTAATCTTCAATCATCCTTGTTAAACTATTATCAGTTTTACTTGTAATGATTTGCTAATTCACAGACTAGTTAGACTGAGGATTAAATACAGGATTCAGATTGATCTAGGAAAGAATTTCTATAAAGACAAAAAAACCCTACCTAAAATAATGTCAAATTCCAACCTGTCTGTTAGGTAATAGTAAGGTTCTAGCTCATGCAAGCTAACTAAGAAATTCTACAAGAGATTTACTGAGCATGCTAAAGATTGGATGAGAAAAAACAATTAAAAAATGTCACTGAGAGGTCCCCACAAGTCATTTCTCTCACCTTGGCATCTTGGCCTCTGCCATCCACAAGAGGTCCATGTTGCAAGCAAGGATAGGTAGATGTGGGTATGGCACAGAAGCTAACTCTACTCCTGGATTCCCATTGCTCAAGAGTATATCAATAATCAGCTGAAGAGAAGTTTCCCACCTTACTGGTTCCCCCAACAGAATTATTCCTGAAGATGGAGAAAGGTGGACAACTTTTTAAACAATGCATGTCTGTATGGCATACTTTCTAAAATTCTTTAGAATGTTATTCATTAGATTGTCCGCTTCTTTTTTTCTAGTGCTATTTCATTAGTCAGCCTGATCAAGGACATAAATTAAGTCTGGCCTAAGAAGGGCAAACTGTACCCTTAAAACTGCAAAGGTACCCAACAAAGTTACCTTCTATGGTGGGAAAGTCAATGGTTGGAGGAGGCTGTAAAAAACAAACAAAAGAGAAACAAATTTTAAACAATGTCAACAAATGAGCCAAGGTATTTCCAGAGAAAATAAACATATTTAGAATCAAATTTTGCAAATCCATAAAGCAGGAGAGATCCAGCTGGACCTTATTTCCCCTCAACATTTCCTTTTCCTGCACAAAGGACAATAGAACAATCACTCCTTTCCTAAGAGAAAGGACACACTGAAGGTAGCAGAAGACTTAGCTTTTTTAAGAAGTCAGGGTTTCTTCCTAGCTTATGATTCTGGCTTGCTAGAAGAAGAAGAAACCATGGATTCTTCTTGCAACACTAATTATTTTAATATTTTTCTATGCAAGTTCTTAATTAAGCCAGTGTGAAAGTTTGTGAAAGTGTGAAAGATTAGAACCTTGTCAGCAAAAGTATTCTTAGAGAAGGTTGAAGTAAATAGCAGAACACCAAATCGAGTTAGACACAACAGAGGTCCTTTCAGTCAACCACACTTTTCTACGCCCAGGTTGATACTTGCCAGTTCTTTAGGCCGCCGCTTTTGATCAACCATATCCAACAAGGGAAATGCTTTCCTAATGTCTTCAATGGTAAGAACATGCTGAAATCCCAAGCTATTTCAGATGGTCAAGGAATAGCATTTTTTTTTTCAAAGAAAAATGATCAAAAATAACAGAATTTACTAACAGGAAATCTATATAATGGATCTAGGTTTAAGTTGCCATTCCTCCATGGAGTTAATTGGGTGATTTGGCCCTCTCACTGTATCTCTACAACTTACCTGCCAGGATTGTTTTTGTGGGGAGAATAAGGGGAAACCTCCACATCTGCTATCCTGAACTCTTTAAGGGAGGATAGGATAGAAATAGAACAAATACATGCAATTGCACCCATTATACAACAGTGGCTCTGAATATACAGCTAAGGAAGTGGGAGGAAAAGAAAAATTTTGGAAACAGAAAAGGATACTCCCTGGCATTCTCTTCCACAGGACCCTGTCCACACACAAGCACACACTTGTCATGGAACTGATGGAAAAGTCGCAGTGGGCTATGGGAAAGGATTACCCATTCAGGAGATACCTGAAAAAAAAAAAAAGAGAGAGAGGACAACAAGGCAGCTAACCAACTCTTTACATTGCTGTTACAAAAACTGTCATACATGGATGATTGGCCTGGATAATGCCCAGATCATTTCCAACCCATTCCGAAGTGGACTGAAGAAGCCAGCTGCAAAATTGAGATACTCCTAGATCCAACATTTTCACTGAAGGACAGATAACCCCAGGGCTAGGATCATTATAGAGTTGGGCATCCTTATAAATTTATTTAAATAAATGAATAAATAGAAAAGTCTTTTATCTGGCTGATAGTCCAGCTATCAGCTACACCCGGACAGGCATAAATATATATGTTGTGCTTATCTCTCAGTTGAATTACCATAACACAGTGTTTCTCAACCTTGGGAACTTTAAGATGTGTGGACTTCAACTCCCAGAATTCCCCACTCTTGCCTGGCTGGGGGTTCTGTGGGGTGAAGGCCACACAAATTTAAAGTCCCAAAGGTTTGGAAAAAACCGGTAA